TCCAACAATAAATCAACTGGAACTGCTGGCACTGCCCCACCCCCAAAAAAAAAAACAGAAGAGCCCCCCCCCCCCCTGGGTGAAAATTTCTGAAATAATCACTGAACGATAGTGAACATTTCTATGTCCTTTTTATTTCTTTTTCGAACACTATTTTTTGTCTACGTGACAGCTTTACGATATAAGCTAATCATTTGATGCATTTTGATCACGTCGCGTATTTTTAGATCGTTTTCAAATAGCCGAATCAGTTCCTGTGGTCTTTACTCGACAAATCAGATGAATAAAAACTGAAAGTAAGTCATTGAAGGCTAGCTGTCATTTCTTTATTTTGGTTTATGCAACATCATAATAAAAAATTAAATACAAATATACTAAGAAAAGAAAAGTCTACCTCACATATAATTGATGGCGAAAGCTTTTTGGCATGAAGGTTCACCGTCTGTTGGTGTCTTCTTTCAGGTTTTCTCCTTGCCTTTGTATATTTCTTTAACAATCAACTACGACGTTTCAGAGCAAGGTTACGAAACTTTTATGACTCGTGTTATTCCAATAATTTTGAGCAAGTAAATAGCGCTTTTTAAAGAGTTGTTATATTTATAACTTGGGAAAAAAAATATTCTAGAAATGGTCCCAAATTTTCAAAACTGGTTGCAAGGAAAGGAGTGTCCACTACCCCCTAATCGCAACTGGCTACGCTGCTGACGCTTCAATGTATTTTTTTTAAAGCTAACAATAAATGAACACCTTATCAGACTGAATAAGGCCTAAATCTTAATAAACTTTAATCATTAGTAACTATTAGTAATCATCAGTAAGTGTCAAAATCAACGAAGTTATCTGATACGGCAAAAACATGAATTTCCTTAGGGGTAGGGGTACATTTTTAGCGCTAGCTCTCAGCGTATTTAAGTCTACGTTACAGTCAAAGACAAATAGAAACATTCTTAGCTTTTTGTGAGATGTGTTGTCTACAAGACAGAGAGAAACACTCTTGGCTTGTTGTGAGATATGTGGTCTACAAGACAGAGACAAACACTCTTGGCTTGTTGTGAGATATGTGGTCTACAAGACAGAGACAAACACTCTTGGCTTGTTGTGAGATATGTGGTCTACAAGACAGAGACAAACACCCTTGGCTTGTTGTGAGATATGTGGTCTACAAGACAGAGACAAACACTCTTGGCTTGTTGTATAGATATGTGTTCTACAAGACAGAGACAAACCTTCTTAGTTTGTTGTATAGATATGTGGTCTATAAGACAGAGACAAACCCTCTTAGTTTGATTCAAAGATATGCGGTCTACAAGACAGAAACAAACACTCTTAGCTTTTAACATAATGCTAAAGATACGTGAGAATGCTAGGAACTTGATGTATTATTCTCTGGCCCTGGATAATTCTACTGATCTCTCAAAACGTCTCGTGTTTATTTGTGGTGTCGATTTGGACTCTCAGATCACGGAAGAGTTGGCATCCATTTGCAGCATGCAAGGAACAACTTATGTCTGCGAGCAAACATTTTAATAAATGAAGTCTGTAAAGTCAACACATCGAACGAGAGGGATTGATGAGCATTTGAAAATAATTCTTTTGATTGGGTGCAGCAATTCCTAAACCAGACATGGGTGCCATGTTGAAAGCCCAACTTCAGTTTCACATATCTCACAAGCTTTTTTTGCTGCTTAGTTTGTGAGATTCGAATATGTGCGCACTAGGTCAGATGTAACCATCTTTTTTTTCTAACGTCGCCTTCTTTGCTAATTTTTTAGTAAATGAATGTGTTGGTTGTCTTGCTTTTCTGCACTGCATGTCACGCAATCATGATTGACATGGAATCCTAAACTTAGTTTTTCGTCTTCCCCCCCCCCACCCAGAGCTCACGTTCAGGTTACAAGTAGTGCACAGAATGAGACCAGGCCGGCGTCGTCCATTTTTGTCCAGTTATCCAGCCCGCCGTGAAGAGAGTTTGGGGACCCCCCCCCCCCCTGTTGTATAGATACGTGGTCTACAAGACGGAGACAAACACTTTTGGATCGTTGTATGGATACGAAGTCTAATTTTATAATCTTATTGTAATACAATAATTCTAAAATAATCTTTATTATATAAATTCCAAATTTAAAAAAAAAAAAAATCGGTTTGAACGGATTATACAATTATAATGATTAAAAGGTAAATTGCTCTAAAATAAATGAACACAAGATGTGCTATGGAAGTAGCATAGAAGCGGGGGAAAAAGTATGGGAAAACTGAAAAGAGGGATGCAACAAAAAAATTAAACAGAAGGATCACACAAAAATATATAATTTCCATTC